CCCCAACGTTTTTTTTCTTACTTTTAAAAAAAAAATCTTTCTGTATTCTTGGGGAGTCTTTCTAAAATTGGTTTAAACTTTAAATTTCATATTTTCGTTGACTTATGCATTTATTTTTCCCATTGCTTCAGAAAGAAAGGAGCACTCATTCTACCAGGGGAAGCTGTGCTCAACGTTGAGGGATGACCTGCCTCTGCTGGCCCACCTGGGGCAGCACAATGCTGCCCACAGCTCTTTCCCACCCGGTCTGCTTGCTAATTAGCCCAACACTAACCCACCAAGACGATGCTCAGGTGTGCTGCGTTGCATCCCAGACTAGAAAAGATATCCAGGCAAAACCGGGGGGGGGGGGGATGGCGGCAGACGGGGAGGAATGATTTAGCGACCTGTGCTTTATCACACACACATGCACACACACACGCACACGCAGGAAAAATAATAGAGGTGCTGGGACGGAACAGTAGCCGACTGGGCACACGTGGGATGAATGGACGCGATGATCAGTAGGAAGCTAACAACTCCAGCTGGCACTCACTGCTCAGTTTTTGTTTTGTTTTGTGCTTAGGTGGATGAAGAGGGAGGGAGCACCTCATTGGGAACAAGAGTTGGATGAAGAGGACCTGTCGTCTTCCCTGCTGTTGCCGCCCTGCCCCCCGCCCCCCGCCTGACCCCTCCCCCCCCCAATGGTACGCCCCCATCACTCCCTACACACCCAACAGCACCCACGTTTCTGCTTCCTGAATGCCCCTACCTATGTCTGCCTTGCTGCTGCTGCGATGCTGGAAGCCTGACCTTCCTGCCACCATCTACTTCCATTATGTGCCCTGGTCAATAAAGTTTTCTTCTGAGCCACTAACTTCTGCTTGAGCCTGATGATTTGGGGGGCCTGGGGGAGGAGCAGGGCACACAGAGGACCTGGGGGATGAACAGGGCACACGAGGGCCTGGGGGAGGAGCAGGGCACATGGAGGGCCTGGGGGAGGAGCAGGGCACACGAGGGCCTGGGGGAGGAGCAGGGCACACGGAGGGCCTGGGGGAGCAGCAGGGCACACGGAGGGCCTGGGGGAGGATGAGCAGGGCACACGGAGGGCCTGGGGGAGGACGAGCAGGGCTCACGGAGGGCCTGGGGGAGGACGAGCAGGGCACACAAGGGCCTGGGGGAGGACGAGCAGGGCACACGAGGGCCTGGGGGAGGAGCAGGGCACACGGAGGGCCTGGGGGAGGAGCAGGGCACACGGAGGGCCTGGGGGAGGAGCAGGGCACACGGAGGGCTAAGGGGAGGACGAGCAGGACATATGTCGGACCTGGGGGAGGACGTGTGGGACACATGGAGGGCCTGGGGGAGGACGAACAGGGCATACAGAGGATCTAGGTCCCCACAGGTAGATATTGGGCAAATGTGTGAACAGGTGCAGTTGTGCAGGGGACCTGGTTTGGTGCACCATGTGCAATTGCTGCCTCAGAACAGGCCCACATTACGAGGATGATACAGCCCACCGACCCTCGTGCTTAGGGTCAGCTTACTGTGACCTATGTGAGGGCTCTAAAGTCAGGCTGCACAGGTGTGCCCAGTGTGAACTGCAGCTCCAGGACTGCCCTCATGCAGCTTCCTACCAATGTGCGGCTGGATGGAAATGGGCCAGATAATCCTGTGTGGTACTGTTTACACCGCAGGATGTATGGTCAGTCCACATAGGGAGGGCCTGGAACCCCCATGTGGTTCTGATAACACTGCAGGCTGCATGGTCAGTCCACGGTGAAGGGCATGGTCCCCTGGTTCAGCAGCAGTGGGTCCAGGAAGGCTGACTTGACTTGGCTGGGTCCCACATGTCCTAGGGCCGGTGGTGGGTGGCAATGTGCCCACCCTGGCCTGGGACACTGTGAGGTCCAGGCTGGCCTGGGCCTGGCACGTTCCCATGGCTAATTCTTGCTTTTCTCAGGAGATCCTCCAGGGGGTGCAGGGGGACCAGCCATGAGCTGTGTCCCACACTTGGACACATCTGGCAGGGGAGTCTGGGGGCAGCGGGCAACCTGAGGCAGCCCAGGGAGGGACAAGTTAGTGTGAGCCGAGCAGGCACCCAGCGCCCCAGACCCCCCAGCCTCTGGCCCCATCCTCCTTGTCAGAGCAGGTAGCAATGCAGCCACACGGGAGAGGACCTTCCCCTCCGCACTCCCACCTCCACACAGGGGCTTGGGGATTTTGGTGTCAGACCAAATGCTAATGCATGGGAAACGCTAGGGGTCCACACCCTCCCAGCTGCTCGGCTTGTCTCCGGATCTTCCAGGCTGCGGGCTCTGTTGGTGTCTAGCTAGTTAGCCCAGTGTCTTAGCACAGTCAGGGAGAGGCTGGGTTCTGTCTATAATCAGGAGGAGCCGGACCCCATGTGTTCACGGTCGGGGAGGGGCTGGGTTCCACGTGTCCACGGTTGGGGAGGAGCTGGTCCCCTGTGTCCACGTCGGGGAGGGGCTGGGTCCTGCATGTCCATGGTCAGGGAGGGGCCAGGTACCGCATGTCCATAGTTGTGGAGGAGCTGGTCTGTGTGTCCACAGTCGGGGAGGGGCAGGGTCCTGCATGTCTACAGTCAGGGAGGAGCTGGTCCGCGTGTTCACAGTCGGGGAGGGGCCGGGTCCTGCATGTCTACAGTCGGGGAGGGGCCGGGTCCTGCATGTCTACAGTCAGGGAGGAGCCAGTCAATGTGTCCACAGTCAGGGAAGGACTCGGTTATGCCCACAGACCACCAGCCTGGTGGTTCACTCTGAATGTCAGCCTGGCCTTTGGCTAGCATCCCCCTGGTCTGTGTGTGGTGTCTGCCCCTGGTCTGCCCTCAGCCTGATGGTTCACACTTGATCCTCTCCTGTAAGGTCCCACAAAGCAGCCACATTGGGGTCAGGTTGTGCTGTGGGTCTGTGACTGACTCAGAATTGTCATGCCTCCCTGCCTGCACATCATGGCTGCTCCATGTCAATGAGTTGACCCTGGGGAAAATGGGAGGTGAGGAACAGAGCTTCTAGGGTGGAGAGAGCAGGGGTGGTGTGGGCTGCAGAAGAGGGGCCAGGAGCACCCAGGGACTGACGGACAGGACAGGGGCTGGGGGGACCCATGTGGCCAACACACTGGGCAGGAGCTGGGAGGGCCCAGGCGGCTGAAGCACTGGACAGAAACTGGGAGGACCCATGTGGCCAACTCACTGGGCAAGAGCTGGGCTGGGACGAGGACCCATGTGGGCGACACATTGGGCAGGAGCTGGGCAGGGGACAGGAGGGCGCACGTGGCAGGAGCTGGGCAGGGACTGAGAGGATCCATGTGGCCATTGTACTGGGCAGAGGCCGGGAGGGCCCATGTGGTTGATGCATTGGGCAGGAGCTGGGCTAGGACGATGGCCTTGCTTGCAAGGCCACAGATGTGTTTGCTGAGTCTTTATTGCATTTTATCATATTGCTAACCATTCCACAGCAGTGCCATGGAAGGAGCCTTCCTCCAACTAGGACTCTGCTCCTGACCCTGTGTTGTCCACACCAATGTCCAGGGCCAGCAGGGGATGCACGGCACCTCAATGAAGGACCTGGCTGCCTTGGCAAGGACACATGAGTGGAAGATCTGTGGATCTCCCCTGACGAGGTGCAGGAGGACCCTAGTCCTGAAGCACGGAGCAGGCAGACCGCCACAGTGGTGTGGACTGAGCGAGCACGAGGCCTTGGATGTGCAGTTGCAGGTGGTAGGAGCTGCTGGCTCTGCATTCTCTCAAGCACCACGTGTGGACAGAGGGAACACGGCCCCCCATCCCACAGAGGTCTGGTCGTGGACAGCGCCTCCTCCCCACCTGGCCAGGATCAAGTTCCACAGAGTGGCACTCGGACACGTGAGCGTTGGCTGCAGCCATGGCTGGTGGGCCAGTCACTACCTCACGGGGACCGCTCTGTGTTCAGGGCCCAGGTCCGCCTCCACCACACTGGGCATTCCGTCTTTCTCAATGCAGTCCTGTACAGCCTGCAGCACCATGTGCAGCCGCTGATCCAGGGCCTCCAGGTGCAGCTGGTACAGGACAGGCACCACCTTGTCCCGCTGCAGTGACTCAGCCATCAGCAAGCTCAGCTTGAACTCCTCCTTGGTCAGCAGTTGCAGCCGCAGGTAGGTGGACTCCCTGATCCTGGGGGGTAGGGGAGAGACACCTACCTGGCTACCAGGACTGACTGCCAAGTTCAGGGACTGGGGGCAGGAGAAACACAGGGACACAGGCAGGGGACAGACAGACAGAGGTGGGAGGGGTGGCTGGGAGTCCTCTGGGAGGGGTGGTCAGTCTCTGGGCGACCCTCAGGGGCCTCCTGCTCTTCTAGGCCCCTGCCTCTTGGCTTCACAATGGCTGAGGGGCCTGCCTTGCAGGGTGCTTGTGTGCTGGGGCCAGATGTGGCCAGCAATGACCCCTTGTCCAGGAGCCAGTGCTGACATAATGGTTGGGCAGTGGATCCTGCATGGCTACTGAACAGACCACCCTACCTCCTGGTGGAGAGGGGGGCCAGGGCAGGGGAAGAGGGTGGGGCTTCTGTGACTGTGGGGACAAGGCAGTGTAAACAGGGGCAAGGCCCATAGCTGTGAGGAGACTGAATGCGGTGGGCCAGTGATTGTGGGAGTGTGGGCTGTCAACATGGGGGCATGGCTCCATGACCATGGGGTAGAGGCTGTGTCTGTGGGGGCGTGGCCCCGTGAATAGAGGGCATGGCTCCGTGACCAGGGGGTAGAGGCTATGTCTGTGGGGGTGTGGCCCCATGAATAGGGGGCATGGCTCTGTGACCATGGGGTAGAGTCTGTGTCTGTGGGGGTGTGGCCCCATGAACAGGGGGCATGGCTCTGTGACCATGGGGTAGAGTCTGTGTCTGTGGGGCGCGGCCCTGTGAACAGGGGACATGGCTCCATGACCAGGGCGTAGAGTCTGTGTCTGTGGGTGTGCGGCCCTGTGAACAGGGGACATGGCTCCATGACCAGGGCGTAGAGTCTGTGTCTGTGGGGCGCGGCCCTGTGAACAGGGGAAATGGCTCCATGACCAGGGCGTAGAGTCTGTGTCTGTGTGTGTGCGGCCCTGTGAACAGGGGACATGGCTCCATGACCAGGGGGTAGAGTCTGTGTCTGTGGGGGTGTGGCCCCGTGAACAGGGGCATGGCTCTGTGACCATGGATGGGACCTGTGACTGTGGGTGTGGCCCCGTGAACAGGGGGCATGGCTCTGTGACCATGGATGGGACCTGCGACTGTGGGTGTGGCCCCGTGAACAGCGGGTATGGCTCTGTGACCATGGATGGTACCTGTGACTGTGGGTGTGGCCCCGTGAACAGGGGGCATGGCTCTGTGACCAGGGGTAGAGTCTGTGTCTGTGGGGGTGTGGCCCCATGAACAGGGGCATGGCTCCATGACCAGGGCGTAGAGTCTGTGTCTGTGGGTGTGCGGCCCTGTGAACAGGGGACATGGCTCCATGACCAGGGCGTAGAGTCTGTGTCTGTGGGTGTGCGGCCCTGTGAACAGGGGACATGGCTCCATGACCAGGGCGTAGAGTCTGTGTCTGTGGGTGTGCGGCCCTGTGAACAGGGGCATGGCTCCGTGACCATGGGGTAGAGTCTGTGTCTGTGGGGGCGTGGCCCCATGGACAGGGGCATGGCTCTGTGACCATGGATGGGACCTGTGACTGTGGGTGTGGCCCCGTGAACAGGGGGCATGGCTCTGTGACCAGGGGTAGAGTCTGTGTCTGTGGGGGTGTGGCCCCGTGAATAGAGGGCATGGCTCCGTGACTATGGGGTAGAGCCTATGCCTGTGGGGGTGTGGCCCCATGAACAGGGGCATGGCTCTGTGACTGGGGCTGTGGCCCTGTGAACAGGGAGGGTGGGGCCATACCTGCAGCACTGCTATAGCAGCACCAGGATGGAAAGCTCATCGTGTGAATACTTCCCGAACCTGGAGAGAGATGACATCACAGTGGGTGGTGGGCAGAGGCCATGCAGCACGACCTAGCCCTAGGCCCCAGGCAGTACTTGGCTGGGCCCATGGTCCAGCCCCGGGTACCCTGAGCACTGGGCCCTGTTCAGGAGCTGCAACCTCCAACCTGAGTCTCAACCTTTGAGTCTCACTGTCTCCACGGGCCCTCAGAGGACAGGGTCGCCATGAGGACTGGGGACGAGGTGTCTGAGGGGCTCCCAGTGGCCTCTGGAAGCCTGTGACTTATCCCCTGCCATTGTCCAGGTGGATGAGGATTGTCTCATTGCCGAACTTCTCGAAGGTCTCACAATAGTGGTGGCCCATGTTCCCTGTGTGAGTGGCACAAACAGCCACTTGGTAGATGCCCTATGGCTCGCAGGCTTCAGCCTGCCCACCCCAAAGCAGGAGGCCCCTCCCGAGACCCTGGGGCTGCAAGCTCTGGGTACTGTGTGGTTGCTACAGACTGGGCACTGTGCCTGCAGGGCCCTGACCTACCCATGAGGAAGTCAAAGATGGTCATGTCCATGATGTCCAGGATGCCCTGGCTGCTGTCGTAGGGCGGTGTCTGCTTCACCTCCTCACAGTAGTCAGGGTCCACTTCCCACCTGCAGGGGTCAGCGTGAGATGGACAGGCAGGCCCTGTGCGGCTGTGAGGTTCAGAGCAGCGTGCGGGAGCATTCGTACCACAGACTGCTGGGTCTGCAGGGAGACGTGCTGGACAGGACTCTGGAGCCACCAGCCCTGGGTGCCAGGATGGGAGGTGGGGCTGGGCTGACGCCCAGGAGATGCAGCAGGGAGTGAACACTGAGCGGTCCTGTGAGAGCCAGGAACCCTGCCTGGCTGCCTGGCGTCCACACGCTGCCTCCCCACCTGTCCCTGTTGCCCTGCGGAGCCCTCCCAGGCCTGGCTCTCAAAGTTGCTCCGTGGGGTAACGTGGGAGCCTCAGGCCCTCGTGCACTTACTCTGCCTTCTTGCGCTTGTGGTAGGAGTGCCGCCAGGGGTTCTGCCACATCTTCCTCTTGGCCAGGGACAGGTCAGGCAGGAAGGCTGCCAAGGACCCCTCGATCTGGCCTGGCTTCCCGCACAGGGCGTGCTCTGTGGAGCAGTAGTATGAGCACTCCCCGTAGAAGCAGATGTTGTTAGCTGGTGGGAGAACGGTGGGGCCTGTTACCTGCCCTCAGCCATGACCCCAGTGACTGCTGCAGATGTCATCCCATCCCCACACCCATGTCAGCCACCTTCTGTGGCCACACCACAGCTAAGGGCCCCGAAGAGCCTGCAGCTGACCTCACAGCTAAGGGCCCCCAGGAGCCTGCAGCCCACCTCACAGCTAAGGGCCCCCAGGAGCCTGCAGCCCACCTCACAGCTAAGAGACCTTCCACCCTGAGCGCTGACTGGACCGGGTCCACACAACAATACTAAGCTGAGGGGAGAAGCCCAGCCTTGGGAGAAGCCCGGGATGGGGGAGATGTTTGCAGTTGAGCCAAGCACAGGCCCTGGATCTGGAACTGCACCACACATGGTTCAGCAGCCCCAGATGTCTCCAGGAACCGGGCATCTCCCCATACTGATAGTGTCTGTGGGTGAGGTGCAGTTTAGCCCCAGTCAGCAGGAACCCTGAACATTTGCACAGGGAACAGCAGAGAACAGCAGGTGCTAGCAAGGGTGGGGAGGCCCTGGAGTCAGGGTTCTTGAAAGAGGGGAGCATGCAGAGGCCACTACACTTCACCTGTGGCTGAACTTGGCATCGCACCCCACAGCGTAGGGCCTTAGAGGACTGAGACAGTGAATAAACAGGGACAGTGCCTGAGCAGTTACCAGGTCATGGTGTCCTTCCCAAGCCCCTGTGTGTGGGGCTCTCAGTGGACATGTCAGGGTGTGTGTGTGAACGAGGCACATGAGGTCCTTGATGGACCACCTAGAGGTGTGTGTGAAGGAGCTGTGTGTGACATCCTCACTGGACACGCCTGAGTGTGTGTGTGTGTGTGAAGGAGCCATGTGTGACATCCTCACAGGACACGCCTGAGTGTGTGTGTGTGTGTGTGAAGGAGCTGTGTGTGATGTCCTCACAGGACACGCCTGAGTGTGTGTGTGTGTGTGTGAAGGAGCTGTGTGTGATGTCCTCACAGGACACGCCTGGGTCTGTGTGTGTGAAGGAGCCATGTGTGACATCCTCACAGGACATGCCTGAGTGTGTGTGTGTGTGTGTGTCTGGCCGTGTGTGACATCCTCACTGGACACGCCTGAGTGTGTGTGTGTGAAGGAGCTGTGTGTGACATCCTCACAGGACACGCCTGTGTGTGTGTGTGTGTGTGAAGGAGCCGTGTGTGACATCCTCACAGGACACGCCTCTGTGTGTGTGTGTGTGTGTGAAGGAGCCATGTGTGACATCCTCACAGGACACGCCTGGGTCTGTGTGTGTGTGTGTGAAGGAGCCACGTGTGACATCCTCACAGGACATGCCTGAGTGTGTGTGTGTGTGTGTGTGTGTGTCTGGCCGTGCGTGACATCCTCACTGGACACGCCTGTGTGTGTGTGTGTGTGTGTGTGAAGGAGCCGTGTGTGACATCCTCACTGGACATGCCTGAGTGTGTGTGTGTGTGTGTGTGTGTGTGTGTGTGAAGGAGCTGTGTGTGACATCCTCACAGGACACGCCTATGTGTGTGTGTGTGTGTGTGAAGGAGCTGTGTGTGATGTCCTCACAGGACATGCCTGGGTCTGTGTGTGTGTGTGAAGGAGCTGTGTGATGTCCTCACAGGACATGCCTGGGTCTGTGTGTGTGTGTGTGTGTGTGTGTGTGTGTGTGTGAAGGAACCATGTGTGATGTCCTCACAGGACATGCCTGGGTCTGTGTGTGTGTGTGTGTGAAGGAGCTGTGTGATGTCCTCACAGGACATGCCTGGGTCTGTGTGTGTGTGTGTGTGTGTGTGTGAAGGAGCTGTGTGATGTCCTCATAGGACACGCCTGGGTCTGTGTGTGTGTGGCTGTGTGTGTGTGAAGGAGCCGTGTGTGATGTCCTCACAGGACACGCCTGGGTCTGTGTGTGTGTGTGTGAAGGAGCCATGTGTGACATCCTCACAGTACATGCCTCTGTGTGTGTGTGTGTGTGTGTGTGTGTGAAGGAGCCATGTGTGATGTCCTCATAGGACATGCCTCTATGTGTGTGTGTGTGTGTGTGTGGCTGTGTGTGTGTGAAGGAGCCGTGTGTGATGTCCTCACAGGACATGCCTGTGTGTGTGTGTGTGTGTGTGAAGGAGCCATGTGTGACATCCTCACAGGACATGCCTGGGTCTGTGTGTGTGTGTGTGTGTGTGTGAAGGAGCCGTGTGTGACATCCTCACAGGACATGCCTGGGTCTGTGTGTGTGTGTGTGTGTGTGTGTGTGTGTGTGTGTGTGTGTGTGTGTGGCTGTGTGTGTGTGAAGGAGCTGTGTGTGACATCCTCACAGGACATGCCTCTGTGTGTGTGTGTGAAGGAGCCGTGTGTGACATCCTCACAGGACACGCCTGTGTGTGTGTGTGTGTGTGTGTGTGTGTGTGACGTCCTCATCGGACACAGTTGCCGTGGACCTCAGCTCTACCACAGGCACTGACTGTATGAGACATGAGTCGCCCATTGCCGTCACCTCATCGCCCAGGGAGGCCCCTCAGCCCTGTCCCGAGGGAGTGTCCAGGGGCTGCTCCTCCAGCTGGGTGTCCTGCAGCACCCTCCCAGGTGGGGAGGGCCGGACTCTCTCACCTGGAGAGGTGAAGAAGGTCCTCCACAGCTTCTTGTCCCGCGTGATGTCCCAGATCTCCCTGGTCATGTTGACCACCCTGCCGGCCATGGGGGGCACTCGACGAAAGTCCAGGATCCTGGTGAGAGGGGTCAGGAGCAGCTTTCCAAAGCCTGCGGCAACCCAGCACCCCACTCAGTCCACCCAGCGCTGTGGCCTGGGCTGGCCACATGGCCCTTCCCTCGGCTCTGATAAGTTCTTAGAACTCTGTCCCTTTCCTGCCTCTGTTTTTGTTCCCAACTGTCCCATCTGTGGCAGGTGCACAGAACCAGCACCAAGGGAGAGGGACCAGGCTGGCCACAAGAACCAGCTCATACAGCTGGAAGCACAGGCTTGGCAGCAAATACTTCCTCAGCACCTTAGCCTGCTCATCTGAAGGGGGCATGATGGCGACAGGATGGATGCAACTGTTGTGTCCCTAGCCAGCACAGTGGGATGTGTCGTAGGGTCCTCTATGAGCTGGAGTCACCAGCTTGGGCAGCACGGCAGCCACTCTGCACAGCTGAGACGGGGACACTGCACTCACCTGTCCAGGTGGAAGGCAGCGATCTCTGCATTGTGCCTCTCATAGTTGGAGAAATAAAAAAGGTCTGGGGGAATCTCCTGCTCCCTGGTTTGCCTGGAGGAGGCGACACAAGCAGGTGTTTCCACTGAAGCCAGACTGGCTACACCAGCCCAGGAATCTAGGAATGAAGTGCATCACAGGCCAAGGCCTCCCCGTGCCCAACCTGCAGGTGGAGACCACTACCCCTCCCCATGACACGTTCTGTGACCTTGGGGTCACAGCTCCACAGAAGGAGCTGCTCAGTGTCTCTCAGTCCACCCTGGACCATACCACTCCCTCCAGGGCTGGGGGAAGCTTGGGCCAAGGGTGGCCCCTAGTGCTGCTGTCCAGCATACTGACAGATGTCCCTGACACTTGCCTCCCATCGCCCCCTCAGCATCTGGTCTGGGGCCCCAGGCACTTGGCCACTGCCCTGTTGCTTTCCATACCTGTCCTCCATACCACTATCTGACCATCTCCATGTATACATCACACAGAACACATGCCCAGGCTCTCGGAGTCCCTGTCAGGGACATGTGGGACTTGAGGCCATGCCTGAGAGGGCCCACACATCCACCCTGCTGTGAACACATCACTCGGGTTGAAGATTTCTATGTGGGGATGTTTGAGGCTGACGTCATGGTGGCACACCACTCACAAAGCCGACCAGGTGGGGGGGCAGTGTCTCCAGCAGGGAGGGAAGGCCTGGCAGGTGTTGGTAGTGAGGGAGGGACAGCTGGTACCCCCCGAGCAGTTCCAGGAGCAGAGGGCAGGTATCCTCTAAATTTCATTTGTCCACTCAGAGCTGGGGTTACTTGCTGTCAAGGGCCTAGAGTGAAGGGGGGGCCTTGTCCTCCCTGTGTGCACAGCTGGGACTGCCGGTTCACTCTGAGCCACCTGGGGCTGAGAAGCCAGGTACCTGTGGAGGCTGGGTCCTCAGTTCAGCAGCTCACAGCAGGATGAGGGGGCAGGTGTAGGCTGGGCTACTGTATGTGCACCTGTGTATCTAGGACCCCTGGCTGGGCACTGACTCTCCCCTCCTCCCACCTTCCAGCTGGGGACAAAGCCACATAAGTCTGCCTCTGAAGGTCAGCCTTATCCTGAAAATACCCAGTTGCCATTATCTCAGGCTCCAGAATGTTCTGCACACTCCTGGGAGGTATGGCCCTGCCCAGGAATCCTGTGGGTTCTGGCTAGCCTGGGAGGGCAGTAGCATTCCCACACCAGGCTTGGATGTCAGTCACTTTCTTGGTGCTGGAAGATAAGACCTGGGCCTTGACCCCCTCTTTGGTTCCCATCTGGACACCCCCACCCTTTGGCTGTGTGGCCAGCTCTAATGACCCACTCCAGCATGCATGGGAAGATGCACGTGTCCCTTTGCACATGTGGGTTCACACATGCATACACGACACTGGGCATACCAGAGCTGTGGGGAGGGCGCAGTGAAGGAGCTTGGCTTCTCAACAATATGGTCCAGTTGGAGGCTCCCGAGGTCCTGGCTGGCACTTGCCCTCAGCCTCCAACACCCAGACCCGTCTATCCAGCCCCAGCCTGCAGCAGGTCTGAGAACCCAGGCAGAGGTACCAGCACTGGGCCACAGCCAGGTCCCTGCAGCAGACAGTGGCTGCTCTGAGGGCTTCCCATGGACGAGGCTTCAGAGCCACAGAGCAGGACAGGCTCAGCTCAGTGGTGCCCAGGGCACAGGTCAGTCCACCACCTGTCCTCCTGCTGCTGCCCCTGTCTTCCTTGTTCCTGTCTGGTTCAGCTCCTGGGGCTTGTCACGCTGACCACACTGTTTGCCAGACTCCAGGGCAGGGGCCTGGGGCAACCACATTCAGGAAATTCCAGGAAAGGGATACAGGGATAAGGAAGTGACTGGCAAGAGGAGAACGGAGCCGTGTCCCTCTGTAGCCTCCATGTCTCCGGGGTCTGAGGCACTCCAACATCTGAAGTGACCGCAGAGCTGTCCCCTGGCCTCCCACCCAGCAGCTCCAGGAAGTGTGTGGGCACTTCCCTGAGGCCCCTGCCATGGCTGTGGACAGGTCCTGCTTGAGAGCTCAGTATGGGAGACTGCAGCCCAGCCGCCCTGGGCCTCCCTCCCTGCTCCATGTTGGCTTCTGGGCTCTGAGGCTTCCACGGGTGTGAGCTCCAAGCAGGGCTCAGTTCACCCAGCCTGGGGAAGCTGCACACTGGGACAGCCTGGGGTGCTGGGAGGTGAGAGAGAGCTCTGCCACGCTGTGCCTGGTCCCCCCGACACCAGGGGGCACTCCAGGCTGGCACAGTCCCAGTTGGATGACCAACCCTAGGACTACTTGCTAACCCCTGGGAGTGTCTTTTTGCCCCCAACACCTAGGAGAGAACAAGGGCTAGTGGGGGCAGCAGCTCCTGTGACGGGGTACTCAGCCTGGCCACCTCATCTGGGGGGGCATGTCAGGCAGGTGCTGGAAGCCAGCAGAGCTTGGAGTTTCACATGGCACCTTTCAGCTCCCTTCTACCCCCAGAGCAAAGACTCACACAAGGAAGAGCTGAGACTCCTCCCCTTGCACGAGGGGAGGTGCCACCTCCAGCTTAGCTGCTATGGAAAGGCCTGGAAAAGTACTGAGCCAGGCAGAGCACAGCCTGCCTTGGCTGGGTCACTGGAGGCCTTGTAGAAGGTGTGCCCAGCTGTGCACTGCAGCTGAATGGTGTGATTCTCTCCTCACAATGGGGCTGACAGAGCACCAGAGCAAACAACTGCTGCTGTGATGATGGTAGTCAGCCCTCACTATGCAGTCTGGACAGAGGTGGTCAGCCCTCACAGTACAGCCCGGACAGAGGTCAGCCCTCACTGTACATCCAGGACAGAGGTCAGCCTTCATTGCATTGACCTGGACCGAAGTCAGCCATCACGGGAGACCCTGATCTAAACACAGAGCTTAATGTCCAGAGAGGTTACTGCCTTGCAGTCACTCAGCCAGAACCCAGCAGCACGTGGTCAGTGAGCCTGGTGTCCAGCATACGGAGGGCAGTGAGGTTCTTGCCCCTTTCTGTGCTATCTGCTAGCTGCTGGCCACCAGGATTGGGCTCAGCCCTGGTCCTAGCAGGCTCAGAGACCCCGTGAGAGACTTGCTTCTGACTGATCCCAGCTCCAGTGGGAAGATGTGTGTGCTCCCCAAAGTCTAGGAACCCTGGCGTCGGGGAGGGGACCTGCCTGTCGTGTTTCCAACACAGGCTGGTAGTCAGCTGGGCCCCTCAGCTGCTGTGTCCTCGCTGGCTGTGGCCATTGCTACCGTTAGTGGAACGGAACATGCTCGAATCCACACCTCATGGCCAGCCGCAGCTTTTGTTAAATAGAGGGTGCTGGAGGCTTGTGGCCACAAAGCCTGGGAAGGAATGGAGCCGCTCTGTGTGACCTGGGAGAGGGCAGAAGTGGACTGCTGGGCCTCCACTGGACACGCAGAAGCCCTCCAAACCTCGTCTCCTAGCGTGTCCACTGTCCTAGAGTGTCACCCTGGCTACCTTTCCTGACAGGATGATCCAGGCCAGGGGTTGGAGAACAGGCCTCAGAGGCTGTACCTTCACCATCTGCTAGTGTGGGTGCATGAATGGCAGGGCCACATCCCTGTGCCCACGGCCGGCAGGGCTGAAGCATGTGGCAGGCAGGAGCCGGCTTGGCTATCTGCATGTGCCGGGGCGAGCTCCAACAGTACCTGGAAGGTGCTGACTGTGTGGGTGTGTGTGGCCCCACCACCCCCTACCTGAGACATTGGGTCTTAATGGGCCCTAACAGAGCCTGTTCTGGCACTGATGGCATTGTGGGGACTTCTTGCTCCTGGCAAGTTAGTAGGGGTGCCAGGGAGAGTGTAACTTTGCCCACCATGAACTGGGCACAGGCCAGGCGCCCTCAGCTGTTCTTGCCCTGGACTCCATGGGTCTGGCTAGTGCGCATGGCTGGGCTTCCCACGGCTGCCTGCCCTGTTCTGCTCCTCACAGTACTGACTGCAAATAACAATGGGTCAGGAAACCAACTTTCCTCCCAGCCACTGCCATTTCTGGGAGTGCACCATGGCCACCTCCCACCACATGGCCAGGCGAAGCCCCAGCTATTGTGGTCCAGGGAGGGTGAGTGCACCATGGCCTCCTCCCACCACGTGGCCAGGTGAAGCCCCAGCTGTTGTGATCCAGGGAGGGTGGGAGTAGCAGCACACGTGTTGCAGGGACTCAGGCCAGCAAGGGCATGCGTGGGGCATGCTCCCCCAGGTGCATGTCCCCAACAGTGATCTCAGAAACAAAGGGGAGGAAGGCCTGGTCCTGATGGGCCAGCCCCTTGTGGCGGCATCCGTTCTGCTGGGGTGTGACACTCAGGAGCTGACACAGCCTGGCTACCACATGGCAGTGCTGCGGCTAGTTTCTTGTCTGTCCCCGGCCTGACTGTGGAGTCCTGGACACTGCTCCCTGGCACTGCTCAGCCTGTGGCCAGGCTGATGAAATTAAAATGGCCCAGATTTGTAGCACTCAGAAGGGCCCAGTGTGGTTTGCAGGGGTTTGAGCTTGACTTCAGGAGTGTGGGCTGAGGGAAAGGGCTTGCTGACCACTGGGGGTTTCCTGTGGTTCCTCCTTCAGGCGTGGCTGGGGGAGGGGAGGGTTGATTCTGTGTCCTACATGAGAGATCCAAGGAGAACAAGTGCAACCACAGGCCAATTCCGGCCAGCGCATGACACCTGGACACAGTCCCTGGTTCCACTTCCCCCTCAGGACAGCCAGCTCTGCAGCCCAGGGTCCCAGCCTCAGCCACTGCACTCCAGTGCATGACACCTGGACACAGTCCCTGGTTCCACTTCCCCCTCAGGACAGCCAGCTCTGCAGCCCAGGGTCCCAGCCTCAGCAGTGTCCACTGCACTCCAGCGCATGACAGCTGGACACAGTCCCTGGTTCCAGTTCTCCAACAGGACAGCCAGCTCTACAGCCCAGGGTCCCGGCCTCAGCTGCCCCATGGTCAGGAGAGCCGGCCTGCTGTGTCCACTGCACTCTCACCATTTGCCCATGTCCTCCCCTACCCGGGGTTTCCATACCTTGTGTAGCTGCCAATCACTTGG